GGGAATAAGGGAATATATTATATTATATAGGGGTTATATAGGGAATCATATACGGATTATGTAGGGATTTTATTCCCTTATTCCCTACTAACCAAGAGTAATCCTGGTGCGAGGACAGCTACCCGTACCTTGCCAAGAACGGCATTTGCAAGGCCTCCGGCTGCACTGTGGGCATTCCTGCGCGCGGCGTCACAGGCTACAAGGATGTGAAGGCTGACGACGAGCAGTCGCTGATGGATGCCGTCTCCAAGCAGCCTGTGTCTGTGGCCATTGAGGCGAGAAACCGCATGCCAAATTGCAATCCCCTGCAGAGAAATTGTAGGGCCCCCCTTTCGAAGGGACAGTGGTCCTTGTAGGCCATCTTCAGGGTTCCATGCTTATTAGGAGGAGGGCATGAACATTGAAACCAATTTTGTGTGATTGATGATTAACGTTGTGCATCAGAATCATAGGGTATAGGAATTTTCGTTGTGGGAGTATGCAAGGAACGGAGGTTTGGAGGAGACATTATGCAATCTCTCATGCCTGCGGAGTTCAAGACCATAAGGGTGTTGCAAAGCTTCGGGATGAAGCGATGTCTGTGGTCCTCAAGGGCCAGCAGTTCAGAGCCATGGAAAGGTTCTAAACAAGCGGCAGATGTGGTTATTTGTCAAGATAGGGGTTTCCTAAAATTAGGGGGGTAGCCGTTCTGGGGGCTCCCATAATGAGGAGTATAGTCTATTGGGGTCTATATTGGGGTCCCACTATTTAGGGAAACTACCATATGGAGTTCCCCTGCTTCCTTCCCCTAGAAGATGTTTGGACCTGTGCCCTGCAGACTTTTCTCACTACCTGTGCAGGCTGACCAGATGGCATTCCAGCTCTACAAGGGCGGTGTCCTCAGCAAGACCTGCGGCACCAAGTTGGACCACGGCGTGCTGGTTGTGGGCTACGGCACTGAGGACGGTAAGGATTACTGGCTTGTCAAGCTCCTTTGCTGCACAAGGAACTCAGTGCTGTATTGTGTGGGCCTTACATCTGTAAATTTCTTGCATGGTGCAATTTGTTAGAGGAACAGCTGGGGAGCTACCTGGGGCGAGCAGGGCTACGTGAAGCTGGAGCGTGGCAAGCCGGGACCCGGTGAGTGCGGCATCAAGAGCCAGGCATCCTACCCCATCGTGTCTGGCAAGCCAGGCCCCTCTCCTTCCCCATCGCCTCCGTCTCCTCCGTCTCCTCCTACGCCCAGCAAGAGCCACTATGAGAAGCCTCCATGCCAGAGCGATGAGACGCAGGCCGAAGTGGAGGGCGCCGGCGGCAGCGTGTGCGCCCCCAAGTGCGACACAGGCTCTTGCCCAACAGACGTTCCGGAGGGCACCACGGCCAAGCCCATGTGCATCTTACAGGACTCCAGCACTGGGGACAAGTACTGCGCTCTTGCCTGCATCCTAGGCGGCTGCCCCAGCGGTTCCAAGTGCGTGCACCTCTCCAGCATACTGGGTGTCTGCATTTACCCCGACTCCGAATCCGGCATGAAGCTTGGAGTTGTGCCAGACACCAGCGAGATCACAGTCTAAGCTGAGATGCTGGTCCAACCCAGCCATGCCCATTCAGCTCGGCTGCACGTGCCGATTGGGCACAGGTAGCTAGAGCCTGAAACCCTTTGAATTGTGTAGATGTAGGAGGTAGGCGCAGCCTCCTCATACAAAGTTTTGATGAGATCGCGACGCCAGCGCCAAAACGACGTTTGTAGAATTTCCTGACATTTTCCTTATAGACGTACAGGAGCCTAACTAATTTCCCCAAAGGATCTGTAGATCAACCCCAAGCGAAGCACGTAGAGGTTTCCATAAACTAGGGCCCTGTGTTGGGAGGCTCTATAAAAAGGATTATAGTATGTTGGGGTTAGCAGACCATAGCGACCCTACCTGACTTTGCCTGAAATGGTGGGTTATATAGTCCCAAATTGGCTGACATTTCAGGTTCTGGGGCTGAGCTTTTTAGTCTCATTGGTCTTCGTATGAGAGCTGCCAAGAAGTGACCCCTAGTCTGAAGACCTGCCTACCCTTGGGAGTTGCCGAAACGAGCTTTACATTATTTGCTTATATAGGGGTTATACAGGATAATATAGGGATAATGGAAAAGAAAATGGGAACTACTATTGTATATGGGGTTGTATAGGGAAAGATGGAAAAACATGGAAACCAGCAGGAATCCAGGAACTCAAAAGGGTTGGCGAGGCAGCATGTGCAGTACCTTACACGGGCGCCTCTTTACTTTCTTAGCAGTCGCAGGCCCTGATTACATTGTTTCAGTTGTACCTCCAAAACAGAGTCGGAGTCACATCCGCCAATTTCTGATAGCTTTTGAGGCACAAAGCCTGGAATCAGTGTTTTTGATTCCGCGTAATTCTGATATGGCCCTCCAGCCCCTGCCAACGCCATGGTCTCCACCCTTACGCTCAAGCCCCCAGTCGTAAACTTAAGCGTAATTCTTGCACACTAAACCTGGAAAAGAACGGACAACCCCCTGCTATTCATAAACCTCCCCACCTCCTGTAGATAGATACTCCCCCCAATATACAAGTATATAGTATGGGGAGATGTATTGTTGGGGGGGTCGTGGGGGGTTATTGTTGGGGTGAAGGGATTGGAAAGCTTCAAGCCAACATTAGCAGGAGACGGCGTGAAGTGTCAAGCAAAAATCGACCTACAGATCTCTGGTAACCAGACTGCAATACCATGGACTACGGGTACGGGGTCCATGCCAGGGCTTAGGGTTTAGGGTTTTTGGTTCCTTCCAAGTAAGGTTTTCAATGTTTAGGATTTCGCATTGCGAAAAGTCGTATTCGGAATAGGGATGCTAGAATCGGGACCGGGAGACACTTTCCCCCAATGCGTTGCATAGGGAAATATCTGGTTCTACTTGCAGGAAGTATGGTAGCACCCTAGAATACTTGCACGGTCATGCAGGATTTTGTTCATGAAGAGGATCATCTCGAACATGGCTCAATATTCTGGTTATAATTATTGGGCTTATATTAGGGTCATATTGGGGTTATATAGGGATAATGGAAAAGAAAATGGAAACTACAATATAGTATTTTAGGGCTGCAAGGGTTCTGATGTCAATGCAAGGTCTGCTCAATGGTTCTCCGAGCTGTTTGTAGGGACTATACTGGTTTGGGAATGGGGAGGCTTGGGGTGTTCAGGGTGTACCTGTCAGACTTTAGAGAAAAGTTCTTAGCGTAGATATTTCAAGGGGGATTTTCACTAAGGGCTTTAGGCATTGGGTTGCTGCCCTTTAGGGTTCGCTTCAGTTATCATGTTTTTTGCGACTTTCTGCGCGTTCTGTTGAGATATTCTTTCTCATGCAGCTCTTCATCTCAGGGATTCTAAGCCCTAAACCCTAAACCCTAAACCCAACCCTAAACCCTAAACCCTAAACCCTAAACCCTAACCCTAAACCCTAAACCCCTTTGGGTCACCTTTCCAGAGTATCTACAGTACGGCCTCATGTCCTTGTAGGAGTGTAAGGGCGACCCTGGCACGGCCCAGGGTTTTGGGTTCATTTAGGGCTCTTTCAGTCATGGCCGTGCCTAAGCCCTGAACCCGAAACCTTAAGCCCTGAGCCCTAAACCTTAAGACTTAAGCCCTAAACCCCAAAACCTTAAGGCCACAGCCCTAAACCCTAAACCTTAAGCCCTAAACCCTAAACCATACTAGTCCCAGTCCCAGACAACCTTGGACGTCATACCAATGAGCCCAGCCACATGGAGCAAAGTTGTCATGACCAAATCACAACCTCCAGTCAAAAATACTAAGGGTTTAAGGTTGAATCCTGGAACTTGGGGTTTAGGGTTTAGGGTTTGGGAATAGGGTTTGGGAAACTACTGCTTGTAGTATGGCTACTACTCCTCTTCAGTGCTTTACTGTTAGGGTTGGGGGATGGTAGTATGTAGGTCAAGAATGGGGATCGCCCGGGTTGTCTTTTGGGCTTATCAGGGCTATCAGTTATAAGTATACTTATTGAGTCCCCCTGACCCTACATTCTAAGCCCAAGTACGAAGTCCCTCTGATTCTCCAAGTACTTTCCGGTGATTTGGGAAATCTTAAGCCTTAAACTTTAACAGACCCCCCAACCCTAAACCCCCTGAACTGTAAACTTTAAAGGATTGGATCCTCCAAACAATCGCGTGCGGAGGCGGATGGAATTGCCCGATACGAGATGAATGTAGGGCTTAGGGCTCACGGGGAGTAATGCAGGATCCTGAACAAGCGGGGCTTAGAGATATGAACGTAGACGCCTGAACAATCAGGTTTGAAGTTTGGGGTTTGCGGGTATTGCAGAGACATGTGGTTCTATCATGATGACAAGTGACCTCGTTTAGCCATGCTTCAACTTTCCATGTTGGGTTTAGGTTTCATTGTTGCGGACTTCCATGTCTTCGAAAGGGCACGGCAAGGATGAGTTCGTCACTTTCACACAGGATGAATTGATATTCTTTCAGTGAGGGGCTGGGGTTGTGGCGTACATCAGCCCTGCATAGCCGTCTACTTGTCTGTGTTTGGTTCTCACACCTACATTTCCTTGCATGGAATACCATGGATAAGTTAACGTCTTGCCCTGAACTCTATTCCCTGAACCCTAGATCTTAAACCCTACACCATGGACCCTATGGGAGATCGTTGCGACATGGGTGAAGCAACTTTTACTGTCGGCTCGCGAGGCAGCTATGTCTGCAGGGCTAGTTGGGGTATGTGGGCAGTTGTGGAATAATTTCCAAGCACTACCAACGTTGTGGTCCTAGATTCTTTTGTATCATTCTGGTATAGAGTATCTCAAGCAGACCTCAAAATGATCATCATGGAAAAGGACCTCCAAGAAGGGCCATTTTTCATGTTCTTCCCCTGCCTTCAAGACTCAAAGTCCGTCTTTCTGGCGAACGTGTCTTTCCCAGCATCAGGAGGAAAGCAAACTGGCTTGTATTGACGCAATAAGAAGGCTGAAAGGATAACACAGCAAAACCTAAACCCTAAACGCCCTAAACAAGCCAGACCCTATAAACACGGAACCTTGGAACCTGCTGAAACAAGACAGGAATTCGTGACATAAGTCACACCCGAAACCCTCTATTTGCCTCTGAACCCCAAGGTGCAAAACTCTGAACCTTACTCCTTCAATGCTAATCCTACGCTCTAGCTCCTAAACCCCAACCCCCAACCCTAAACCTTCACCCCAAGCCCTGAACCCTAATCCCCCAACCCCAACTTTCTAGTCCCCAACCCCTAAACCCCAACTCCTAAACCCCTAAACCCTAAACCCGGAACCCTAAACCCTCAACCATACCCACCTCTCCTCCCTTTCCCATGCGTCAGAGCGCTCCCCCGCGCGAAGACAGACATCTTCCGGGATCAGCCCCGGCCTGCCGGTCTGTAAAAAGGGGATGTTTTTCTTCAGGGATTAGGGTTTGGGGTTTAGGGTTTTAGGGCTTCAGGGTTTTAGGGTTTGAGGGCTTGAGGGCTTTTGGGTTTAGGTTTAGGGTCTTAGGGCTTTAGGGTTTGGGGCTTAGGGTTTTAGGGTTTCAGGGTTCGGGGTTTAGGGATTGGAGCTCAGGGAGCTTTCGGTTTATGGTTCTGGGATTTGGGATTTGGATGGCCGTGTAAGGATTTCAGAGCGGTTTACAAGTATTTGTTGGAGGTTGATCTCCTGTGTTATGGATCGATTCTTAAGCTGATCATCTGGAACCTTGCATGAAGGTTGCTACGGCTCTAGGGAGCTCGAATGCCTTTCTTTTTCAACATTTGCCTTGTCAGGGTTTTGTTGGCTTCTACCCTTCTACCCGTTCAAAGTCTTCTCTGGTGATGTGGGATATAGTTGGATTTCGCCTGGTTCTATATGGTTGTAGGAGGTTTGACATATGAGCTATGGAGAGAAGTGTGGTGAGTCGAACGAACGTTCATCCTGCTGTCTCATGATATCAGCAGGCCCAGTGAGGGTCGAGGAACTCTTTAAAAAACCGTAAATCCTAGTCGTCCTAGTCATATTCGGTGAACCCTAAAATTTACTGTTGGGGATCTTTTCTTGCAGGGTCAGGGTCTTCGTCAGTATACTTCTAGACATCTTGCCCATCATCCACTTACCTACCAATACCCCCAAACCGCCCTTCAAGTAGCCATGGCAGACTTCTTCCAGCGTCTCACCACAAGCTATTTCCCTATATAACCCCTATATATAAACCCTGTAATCCCTATATAACCCCTATATAACCCCTATATAACCCCTATATAAGGATAGTATTCCGATTTGGGCCTTGAAGCCCCAGCCTCGAGACCCCTCATTATCTGGGGGCATAAAGGGGTTATCCCAAAATTAGGGGTTTATTGGGGTTATATTGGAATAATGGAAAATAAAATGGAAACTACTATTTAGATGACTATGCGGCGGCCAACCCTACAGTTTTGGAGCCTGAACCCCCGAAACCGTAATCAGGTGTAGCTGCAGCTACTGCAAGCTGAAGAGCGAATCCTGGTATCTCCTGGTGTTTTCCGGCAATGCTTTGCTTGAGCCTAGGCTC